GGCCGCCATTGAGGCTGAGGCGGCCGGGCTCGTGGGCATAATGACAGCGGCGTGTGACGCCGCCATGCCCCGAACCCGGCCGCACCCCCGCCGGTCCATGTACTGGTGGTCGGCGGAGATTGCCGAACTTCGGCGCTCCGCCGGCCGAGCCAGAAGAGAAATGGACCGGCGGGAAAGGAATAGTGAGGGAAGGATGGTCGCCAAGGGGGCGTACCGCGAAAAGCGGGGCGCCCTCAAAGCGGCCATCTTTACGGCCAAGGCCCGTGCCTGGGACGACCTGCTCTCCACCATCGACAGGGACCCATGGAAGCGCCCTTATCACATAGTGATGAGACGCATGCGAAATTGGGCGCCCCCTCCAACGGCGTCCATGGACCCCGAATTCCTCGATAAAGTGGTGGGGGCCCTCTTTCCATGGGGGGAAGCTTGTATTCCCCCCTACGAGGATCCCCCCCCAAACGGGGAGAAAAAGACGGTCGGGGTCACCAAGGTGGAGATGGACAGGGCCATCAGGAAACTCGGCGCCAAGAAAAGGGCGCCGGGCCCTGACGGCATCCCAGGCACAGTGTGGGCCTTGGCGATGAAGGAAGCGGAGGTAAAGGGGGCGACGGGCCGATCAGGAATGAGGGTCGCCGAGGCCATCCGGCCCTGTCTGCAGGAATGGGTGGACAGGGCCCGCGGAGAGCTGTCCTTCCGGACGACGCAGGTACTCACCGGACATGGATGTTTCGGTGAGTACCTGCACAGGATTGGTAGGGAGCCTAACTCCCGCTGCCACCACTGTGGTGCTGAAGTGGACTCGGCGCAACACACCCTGGAGGAATGCCCCTCCTGGGCTGTGGAGCGCCGAGTCCTAATAGATGTGGTGGAAGCGGACCTCTCTCCCCCAGCCCTTATCAGGACCATGCTTGGGGGAGACGAGGGCTGGTCCACCGTCACCTCCTTCTGTGACGAAGTGATGGCACAAAAGGAGGAGGCGGAAAAAGTCAGAAGGGGCGAAGCCGCCCCTCGGGACGAAGTGAGGCGCCGCCGGAGGAGAAGGGCGACGCCTCACCTTCCCGCGCACCAGCGCGGAATTGAGGGACTGCGCACCCGTGGGCGGGGAAAGTCCCGTCTTTCCCGGGGGTGTGCGTAATGCATTTCCTCTACCTTAAAAAAAAAAAAAAAAAAGTAGGTATGTCCGTAATAATCATCGGCGATTTTTTCTGAAGGCTTAACTTATTTTTCTTGGCATAGTTCGCATTTTCGTACGTGTTGTGTCATATCTCTTGTTATTCCTTTCCAGTTGTGTTTTAAGCGTATTCTGTTTAATATACGTTGTATTCCTTGATGCCCTCCTAATGGTGCGTTATAATACTCATATAGGATCTGTCTTTTTCTTCTTCGGTATAGCTTTGTATATTATGTCTGTCTGTATCCTCTTCGTCTTCTTCCTCTTCTTCTTCTTCTGTTTCGTTGGTCTCGTCCATCTTATGTGGAGCATTTGCTTGTATTATTGATACCAGAGGGTATCTGCTTAACGCGTCAGCGTTTACGTTTGTCTTTCCTGCTTTATGAATTATTTCGTAATTATATTCTTCTAGTTTTAGTCTCTATCTTATTAGTTTGGATCCGGGGTCTGTAACGTTGAACAGCCAAACTAGTAGTTTATGATCCGTTACGATTTTAAATTTGGTTCCGTAGATGTAATGCCTAAAGAGTTTACGGCCCAAACTATCGCTAATAATTCTTTTTCAGTTGCGTTGTAGCTTTGTGATAGCTCGCGTAGGCTATCGGGTTGTCTCCTCCTATTCGGCCTTGCAATAATATAGCTCCAATTGCATGGTCGGATGCATCAGTCGTGACCACGAATTCTTTTTCGAAATCCGGGTATGCTAATACCGGTGCGGTGGTCAGTTTTTCTTTTAATTTCTCAAATCTTATTTGTTGTTCCCTGTTCCATTCAAATTTTTCGTCGTTTGTCAGTTTGGTTAAGGGTCGTGAAAGTTTTTAATGAATCTTTGATAATATCCTACGAGCCCTATAAACGATTGAATATATTTAATTTTTGTGGGTCTCGTGAAGTTTGTTATAGCTTATATCTTTTTCGGATCCGATAGGATTCCATTTTCCGAAATTATATGTCCTAGGTAGGTTACTTCCTTCCTAAGGAACTCACATTTATTTAGTTGGAGTTTCAAGTTATATTGCCGTATTCGCTGTAATACACTAACAAGTTTTTTGTTATGGTCTTCTAGGCTATTTCCATATATAACTATGTCGTCCAGGTATACCAAACATTTTAGCCCTTGTAATCCAGTTAGAACAGTATTCATAAGTCGTTGAAAAGTGGCTGGTGCATTTTTCAATCCGAAAGGCATTCTATTGAACTCGTAATGCCCCGTGGGTGTTGAAAAAGCAGTTTTACATTTATCTCTTTCTGCCATTTGTATTGGATGATATCTAGCCGCAAGGTCCAGTGTAAAAAAATATTTCGCGTTTCCTAGTTGATCTAGGATGTCACTGATATTAGGTAGAGCGAAGGAATCCTCAATAGTTAGATCGTTTAATTTTCGGAAATCAACTACGATTTGTAACTTTGTTTTCCCTGATGCATCCGTTTTCTTAGGTACGGTTAATAATGGTGCATTCCACTGACTACTACTGGCTCATATTATTTTGTTTTCGAGCATTTCCTATATTTGTTTGTCTATCTCTTTTTTATGTTGCTCTGGTAAGCGATAAGGTCGCACGTTTACCGGTGCGTCACTTCGCGTGGTAATCTAATGCTTTACGACCGTAGTGTGAGTAAGGCTATCTCCTTTGAAAAAGAATATGTCATTGTAATCTTCGCAAATTTCGCGTATTATTTTTTTCTTCTTTATTTAAATTCTCTAGCCGTAATTGCTGATTCAGTACTTCTGCTCGTGCTAGCGAGGTTTCATTGTTTTTTCCTGTAGTTAATAAGTTTATCTCCGTTGTGTCGTATTCCGGAGTGTTTTCTAATATTACGTAAGGTGTGGTTATCTCGACAGTGTTGTCGGTAGTATTAATTATTGTTGCAGGACATGTATAATTGACAGGTTCCACTAGGCAATTCCCAATAAAAATTCCCTGTGCAATTTCTTCGGCTGGGATTATTCCCACTTGGTTTGCGCTCATCGCGACGCGTATTATTACTTTGCTACGCGCGGGGAGGTTGTATGTTTGATATGGTATTAGCGGTAGACTTCGTCCGGAAATCGTCATCGTTTTTGTCTGATAGTCGAATTTAGCACGGTATTCGCGGAGGAAGTCTATTCCTAAGATCCCCTCATATTCAATGGGAAAATCGTCTTGTACTACGAACACTTCAAATTTTCGACGTTGTT